CCCTGTCTTGTTCCTGTTCTTAGGGGAAATTGTTTTAGTTTTTCCCATTGAGTATAATGTTGGCTGTGGGTTTGTCATATATGGCTTTTATTATGTTGAGGCATGATCCTTCTATTCCAACTTTGATAAGAGTTTTTATCAAAAATGGGTGTTGGATTTTGTCAAATGCTTTTTCTGCATCAATTGATATGACTATGTGGTTTTTACCTCTCATTTTGTTTATGTGATGTATTACGTTTACTGATTTGCAGATATTGTACTATCCTTGCATCCCTGGGATAAATCCTACTTGGGCCTGGTGTATGATCTTTCTGATGTACTGTTGGATCCGATTTGCTAGGATTTTGTTGACGATTTTGGCATCTATGTTCATAAGGGATATTGGCCTGTAATTCTCTTTCATAGTGTTGTCTTTATCTGGTTTTGGTATTAGGGTGATGCTGGCTTCATAGAATGAGCTTGGAAGTGTTTCTTCCTCTTGAATTTGTTGGAATAGTCTAAGGAGGATACGTTTTATTTCTTCCTTGAATGTTTGTTAAAACTCCCCTGTGAAGCCATCTGGTCCCGGGCTTTTGTTTGCTGGAATCTTTTTTATTAGTGCTTCATTTTCTTCCATAGTTATTGAACTATTGAGATTTGTAGATTCTTCCTGATTGAGTTTTGGAAGGTTGTATTTTTCTAGGAATATGTCCATTTCCTCCAGGTTGTCTAGTTTGTTGGAGTAGAGTTGTTCATAGTATTTTCTAACATTCCTTTGTATTTCTGTGGGGTCTGTTGTTATTTCTCCTCTTTCATTTCTGATTTTGTTTATTTGGGTCCCCTCTCTTTGTTTCTTGGTGAGCCTGGCTAGAGGTTCATCAATCTTCTTTACCCTTTCAAAGAACCAGCTCTTGGTTTTGTTGATCTTTTGTATTGTTTTTTTGGTCTCTTATGTCCTTTATCTCCGCTCTGATCTTTATTATTTCCTTCCTTCTGCTTATACTGGGCTTTTATTGTTGCTCTCTTTCTAACTTTTTCAGTTGTAAGGTTAGGTAATTTATTATCATTGTTTCTTGTTTTTTGCAGTAAGTTTGTAGAGCTATGAACTTCCCTCTGAAGAATGCTTTCTCTGTGTTACATAGGTTTTGGATTGTTGTGTTTTCTTTGTTGTTTGTTGCCATGATGTTTTTTATTTCTACTTTGATCTCTCTGGTGTTCCAGTCATTGTTTAATAGCATGCTATTTAGTCTCCATGTGTTTGATTTGTTTGGATTGTTTTTATTATAGTTGATTTCTAGTTTTATGCCATTGTGATTTGACAAGATGCTTGATATGATTTCTATCTTCTTGAATTTAAAGAGACTTTGCCTTTGACACAATATATGGTATATCTTTGAAAAAGACCCATGTGCACTTGAGAAGAATGTATACTCTGTGGCTTTGGGGTGAAATGTTCTGTAGATGTCAATTGATTCCATCTGATCTAGTGAGTCATTTAGGATTGCTGTTTCTTTGCTGATTTTTTGTTTAGAGGATTTGTCCAATTGTGATAGTGGGGTATTAAAGTCCCCTACTATGATTATATTGCTGTCAATCTCTCCCTTGATCTCCTCCATAAGTTTTCTTATGTATTTGGGTGCTCCTATATTGGGTGCGTATATGTTTACCAGAGTTATTTCTTCTTGTTGGATTGCTCCCTTTATTATTATGAAGTGGCCTTCCTTATTTCTTTTTATGTCCTTCACTTTGGGATGTAATTTGTTAGATATAAGTATTGCTACCCCAGCTTTTTTTTCATTTCCATTCACTTCACCATCAGTCTGTGTGCGTCTGTTTTTCTGAGGTGGGTTTCCTGTAGACAGCAGACATATGGGTCATGTTTTCTTATCCACTCAGTTACCCTATGTCTTTTGATTGGGGCATTTAATCCATTTACATTTAAAGTTATTATTGATAGATCCTTGTTTGTCGCAATTTTTATTCTTTGCCCCTGTGTTCCTTCTTCGTTTTCTATTTTTTCTTTTTACAGAGACCCTTTAGCATTTCTTGCATTGCTGGTTTGGTGCTAATACACTCCTGTAGTCCTTTTTTGTCTGTGAAGCTCCTGATTTCACCCTCAATTTTGATTGATAGCCTTGCTGGGTACAGTATTCTTGGATTCAGACCCTTCCTTTGCAGGACTTTGTATATTTCATTCCATTCCCTTCTTGTCTGATGTGTTTCTGTTGATAAATCAGTCGCCAGTCTGATGGGGGATCCTTTGTAGGTAACTTTCTTTGTCTCTCTGGTTGCTTTTAAGATTCTTGCTTTGTTGTTGGTGTTTGCCAATTTAATTATAATGTGCCTTGGCGTCGTTCTTTTGGGCTTCATTTTGTTTGGGATTCTGTGAGCTTCTTGGATTTGTGTGAGTTTTTTCTTCTCTATATCAGGGACGTTTTCTGTCATTATTTCTTCAAACAGGTTTTCTATTCCTTGCTCAGTTTCCTCTCCTTCTGGCACCCCTATTATGCGGATGTTGTTTTCGTTTCATGTTGTCCCAAAGTTCTCTTAGGCTCTCCTCCTACTTTTTAATTTTTTTTTCTAGAAGTTGCTCTGCTTGGGTATTTCTTCATAGCTTGTCTTCTAGCTCACTGATGCGGTCCTCCACTTCTTCTAGTCTACTGTTGATGCTTTCTATTGAGTTCTTCATAGCAGTAATGTCATTTTTCATTTCTTCTTAGTTTTTCATTTCTTCTTGGTTCTTACACATATTGTTGAATTATTCTTCCATTCTTTTCATCCACCTTATGACCATTTCTCTTAATTCTTTCTCTGACAGGTTGCTTGTCTCCATTGCCTCCATTTCGTTTACTTCCTTTTCTGGTGATGCCTTTTTTTTCTTTCATATGCGGGCTGTTTCTTTGTCTCCCCATGGTCTCTCTTCTCCAGGTGTTTGGTTATGTAGTTCTCTCTCTGCTGTGTTGATTTAAAGGCACAAAATACAACACAACAAAGCACAACGCACAAGGCAATGAACACACATGTATTTATGATACTAATAACCTCAAATCCAGGTGACCACCAGAGAAAAGAGAATTAGGGTATAAGAAA